TAGTTATGACATTCGATGCATACAATCTCCATAATCGCAGGGAGATAAAAAATAGTACATTTTTAATTGCAATAAGTTTTCCTCATCCCGATCCTTGACAAAGACTTCAATATCGAGGATTTCTATAAAACTTGCATTTTTCTAATTCACTATCTTCACCTTAATAGATCGTATAGCCTCTTTCACAACATTATACTTTTTCACCGGTAAACTCATCCTTTTAACCAAATTCCTTGTTTCATAAAAGTTATCAATTATATAATTATCAATAGGCATAAACTCCTTCATCAACTCACACAACTAGTCATAACATTATTTAGAAAAATGATACTCTAATTTTAGTTTCAGCAATCGAGCAACAATTAACAATTATGAGTAATTATCACAACTAGTCCAAATCTCTCTATGGGATGCATCCAACATATTATAAAAGGCTTGAGCCCAAACATTTGGCACCTCCTCATCCGTGCCGGATGGATCAAAAGATGGACCGGCTAAATCCATCACCATTGTTTGATATGGATTTTTAGGTTCATTGGAACTACCTTCGCCTACATGATAATTTCTAGTAACTAAATCATGCCTAGAACTATAAGATGCCATGTATGCCTCCAATTCTCGATAATGTATCCAATCATAATATTTTGGCACAAAATCCTTACACCATAAATGGTATTTAACCATTTCAACCTCCTCGAAGCTATGTTTCGACACTTATTGTGATTACAAGGACACCTTATTTTCATTATGTCCATACATTCTAGATGATTTATAGTAAATATAATAAATTGTTCAACCCCATTGATAAACTCATCATTTAAAAACCCATCAACTAGCCTAACATACATCAATTGCTATTCGGATCTCATTTTCTTAAATTTCTACAAAAATTAGACAACATATGCAAACAATTCTTGATCAACATTCATATAATTAAATTAGACATTTCTCGATTTTTAAATTACTTAATAAATAATTTTTCTAAACATCTAATAAAATTTTGACAGAGTCTCTCTTGTAAATTGAATATTTCCCAAATAACAAATAATCACACAATATTATACACATAAAGACTAACAATTATCTTGGATAATCCATCAAAATTAAATCTCAAACTCGTACTCCCACCTCCATCATAGAGCATTGAAACAACTTTGTTTCTTCTTAGTTCCCGAGGGTCTCGGACCCTTCGAGTTTAATATGCTACGGCATATCTCAACACACTTCAACAATCATAATTAAATAATCAAAGTATATAACTCTAATTAAAAGCAAAATCAAAATAAATTATAATTTTTTGAGCTTTTCTATGGTCTAGGCGAAGCTTGTCTACTCCTCAAGTCAATTCAAGTTTCGGATTGTCAAAATTATAAATGTGAAAATTCAGCCTATAACCTTATGCACCAACGAGTAGGGGAAGGTTATTCCACCATTTCTTATGCATAGGGCGAGCTTCGAGTCCAAACAAGAGTTTAAAAGAGTATTAATAGATTTTCATCGTACTTGCCTTCAAATCTCTCTATCTAAATCATAATAGGGTTTTAGCTCGAGTCTAGAGTTTTTGAAGGTTTTCTTGTGGTGTATGCAATAGTTCAAAATAAATATCAAACCTAGTTCAAAGTTAAATGTGTACATGAATGCAAGAAAAATAAATCTCACAAAGTTAACAAATTTTAAAAATTATTTTTTAATATTTTTTGGTTATATTTAATATAATTTAATCGTTTACCTAAATTCTTTTAACGCTAAATTTAACTCGAATTAACTCTAATTAGCCCAAATTAAAATCCAATTCAATTTATAAAAATTCACCCTAATTAAATTAATTTAATTAATCAACTCATAACTAATTTATATTAAGCCTAATTGAAAATAACCTAACTATATTAATACTAACTTATGAGGATTAATTATTTTAATTAACATAAAAATCCAAAAAATTAACATAATTGTTATAATCCCGATTTAAATAAACCTAATTAATCAACAAACAACTAATTGAAATTAATCATAATTAACCCCATATTGAACATAATTAACCCAAATTTAAATTCAATTTAACTTTAAAAAATTCTCCCTAATTAAATTATCCAAATTAATTAACTCATAACTAATTTATATTAAACCTAATTGAAAATAACCTAACCATATTAACACTAATTTATGAGGATTAATTATTTTAATTAACATAAAAATCCTTAAAATTAACATAATTATTATAAACCTAATTAAACGAAGCTAACAACTAACCGATATTAATCGTAATTAACCCTATATTTATCCTAATTAACCTAAATTTAACCCAAATTATAATTTAACTTAACTTAAGAAAATTCATCCTAATTAAATTAAATTAATTAATCAATTCATAACTAATTTAAATTAAACATAATTGAAAAATAACCTAACTAGCTTGATTAACACTAACTAATTTAGATCAATTATTTTAATTAACATAAAAGTAATAAAAAAACAAGTTAATTAATTAATTAATCAAAACTAAGCTAACAATTAGTATAAATAGGTAATGTACTTGAAAAAAAAGTAGAGAGAACTAACAATGAGGGAGGAAAATCGATGGATTTAACGGGAGAAACACTTGGTTTTTTTAGGAGAGAAGAGCACCGTGACTCGTTGGAGGAGGCTAGGGAGGAAATTGCATCGCCTTGGGTGGTGTAATCAAGTCCGGGCACTCATCGAGCTGCAAAGAGGAGGAGAAGGAGAGGAGAGGAAGGCACGAAAGAAAAAAAATAGGAAAGAAGAGAGGTTCTGTCCAATTTATGAATTCAAATTTAGTGATAGACTTGATTCCATCACTAATCCTTCGCAAAATAACGAGGGAAGAAAGCGTCCATCGCTAAGAAATGTGAAATTGCAAGTTAGCGACAACTAACCAAATTCCATCACAATTCCGTGTCTATTTAGCGATGGATTTTAGCTTCGTCGCTATTGCTCTTGTTTTATTTTGATCTCAATTTGAAAATTGGGTATGGTTACACATTAGCGACGAAAAGCGATTCCGTCGCTAATCCTTCAATGATTACCAATGGAAATAAAATTCCTAAATTAGCGATCGAAGTTAATCCAATGTTAAAATTTCGTTGCTATTTCGTCTCAAATACATATCAAATTGATTTTATCACTATTGTGTCACAAATCCATCATCAATTAGAGACAGAATATTTTCTATTGCTAATTTTCGTCGCTAAATGGAGAATTTCTTATATTGTGTGGTCTCTTTTTTAATTTTTTGATCCAAAACTTTATTTTTCTTTCATTTTGATTCTTAGATGGTAAGAGGAGAGAGAAATAAGGGAAAGAGAAAGGAAGAGAGAAAGACGGATAGCAAGGCCCATTCTAGCTACCTCGACGGTTTAACTTACCACCACTAATTTGTTTGTCTCGAAGAATAAAATTTGTTTGTGGTGTTGAAAAAACATGGTCTAGATAGATAATAAGTTAAGTATAGTGAAAAGAGTGTTTTCAAATAGGATGTTTATCTCACATTGGAAAAGAAAGAAAAACGAAGCACTTTATCGGTAGACCTCTTGTAAAGATTTTTCATTGGAAGATTTGGAGAAAGCTCATATTGGAGGAAAGAAGCTTGTAAGTGATATATATATATATATATATATATATACTATCACTTACCACTTAGTCTTAAAAAGAGTAACTATTATGATTATTAAAAGTAATAATTATGACCGTTAGGTCAAATTACCTTAAAAAAATGAAATAATTCTCTCTTCTAGCTTCAAGAGAAATTGTTTTGAAAGAATTTCGGGAGTGATGTCCCTAATTATTTAGGTGTAAAGTTAAATCCTAGAGATGAATTGTCAAAATCCCTACAATATTATAGTGGTGATATTTTCTACACGCAATTAAGCACGGTGTTCTCTTGCTTTCATCTTCGAATTTCTGCATCTACTTTAGAGTCATTTACATGGGCGGTCACAAATTATGAAATAGTTGGAAGAAGCGAGATAGAGATCCCAAAATATTTTGATTTTTTTTTATTTGAATTTTTATGTGCATTAAAAAATATTTTTGAGATTCTAAACTAATTTTTTTACGTTATTTTGGTGATTTTGGACAAAAATAGAGCTAATATTTTTTTTAGAGGCTAGACATTAAAAAAAACCCAATTTTCAGTGATTTTTCAGGTGAAATCGAGCTCGTAGAAATTGCAGACGTAGTTGGAAATTAAAAACAACCATGTTTTTGTTTGTACCCTGGCCCATACCTTTATTTTTGTTTTTGTCTTTTTTAATTAAGATTTTTTTGATAAAAATTATGAAAAATCAAACCTTAATTTTTTTTTTTCACACAGCGTGTGTGTATATATCTATTTATTAATAAATATAATTTATTTTTTTCTATATTTAGATTTTATTATAAAATTTTAAAATATGATTATTTTTTATTTTTTTTAATAAATTTATACAATATATATAATGAATACTTATAATTTTTAAACTTTTAAAATAATTTTGCTGTATCCGATATGCAGACAACTAACTAGAATTGTATTAACACAGGCTTTTGTGAACTTCTAAGAACCCAAAATGCAAAAGCCATAATTTTCTTTTTTAAGAAGAGCGCATAACACTTAGGGAGTCGCCTTGCCTAGTAACCTTGCTACATATTAAATTCCAAATCCTAAAATGGAAATGGTAATGAGAATAGTGAAGCAGTTGCGACGGAAATTCAATGCCAATAAACATAAGAAAATAATAAATTTCATTTCACGTATAGGCTAGATGATTTTACAGAAGATTGCACATATTTATGTATACACTGAAGGTCACTGTAGGTTTTAATCTAATCGATATAACCCACAATTAACCCTCAACTACTGGTGATTGAACTATAACATGACCAATTAGCAAAATCTATAATTCTTATATACATATATATACATACACACCAATCAGCAAAACAGGAACCCAGTTTCCTTTGGTGCTTCTTCTTTTTCATATTGTACTTATACTTTGGTATGCTCAAATCTCATCAGACCAATCACTGGGCTCGCTTTCGTAGAAAAGGCCATCAACAATCTCATCTATCAGTGAATCAATAAAAGTGTTGCAGCCAATCGTGAAGATACGGCCTACTCTATTGCGAGCGCTAGAGAACCAAGCAAAAATTGCAGCACAAGTAACAGCGCCCAAACATACTCCTACTGCTTCGGCAATTCCTTGTAAATCCATCTTTCTAAACACAGAATTTCCAGTAACCACCTCTGTTGTCACTGTTGCTGCAAACACAATCTGCAGGATACATTCATTCCGTGAAAAAAGCAATTCTGCTTACAAATTTGCATCAATGGCTATCAAAACCTAATGAATCTTGACTGTTCTTTTTCCAGCAAACAAAGGTTGATCACACTCATATGTACATCTAAACAAAACGGATATCTGGCGACACTCATATATGAAAACAATATAGTATTATTTTATTATGTTTTTATTTTGGTGAAACATATATATATATATATATATATATATATATATATGCATGCTAATGTTTACATAACAGGAATAAAAAGAGATATGAATGCATCATATTCACATTTATTTAACACATCCTCGATTTTATTATGAAGAGTCGCTAGAACTAATAAGGGATGTGATCATACAAGATTTCCTCTGTTATTATTTTTTTTTTCTCTCTTCAATTCGAATATACTACACTCTTAACAAATCCTTGACTGCACGATGTCTTCAAAGTCTAGTGCATCAAGTTTTTGCTATGGCTGCAGAATAAAATAAAGAAAAGAAGAACGAGTGCGAAAGACAATACAACTGGTTGCATATGCCATTGCTGTGCTTAAGGCACTAAAGTGGCACGGAGTAAAGAATGAAAACAGATTGAATTTCTGTTCTACAAGTTAATATCTCTCGGTCTCTGGTAGACTAAGAAAACTGGGGATTTTAAGGTTTAGATCAAAGAAGAACGATATAGATAGTGTTTTTTTCTAACAGGTGATTTGTTTGGCTATATACAGAGGCTCTTCATACTTAAAATCGCAATTATTTGGACAGTTGATAAGAACAAGTAATGTTTATCAATACTTAGAATAAGATAAAAATCTTAAGGACAACATTAATCTTTCTAAGTAGAATGATTGATATGCTTTATATTTATTAATTCTAGGTAGAAAAATCTAAAACAGAAAAAAAGAAATTAAATAAAGTTGACAAATATTGATTTTTGGAAGATATTCCTAATAATTGATCCAATATCAAACAAATGAAGTGGAATCCCATATTATCGATACCATAGGTTAACAACTTCCTAACGTTGTCGCATAGCCACCTAAAAGCTAAAGCTCTGCTTACTAATTCTTCGATTACAGATTCCGTTGTTCATGAGTTGAGGACGTATCTACAAAAGATGGTTGAGACTTGAGATGTGATGAGTTCCACAGTTCTAAAAAGAATACATCAATATCAATTACAGAGAACTGATCATTCATGGGATCAATTTATTCCCTCGAGTAATTTTTTAGATTTTTGAAATTTATTTCTTTACGGGACTTGGTTGTTCATCATATCTTAAGTAAATAACATTCATTTCTCTATTAAATTTATCATAATCACTCATCAAACGAAAATAAATGCTGGTAACATCTGTGTTCACAAACAGATCTAGTAGTAGAGATGACTTACCATAGCAAGTCGACCAGAAATGATCTCGAAATCCTGACTTTTCTTAGAACTTTCAATATACTCCGATAAAGTTTCAAAAAACGGAGACACCACCTTTTCATGATCTCCTCCGTCCTTTCTCGGACTAATCTTCACCACCCCATATCCATCCTGACCGTACGACCTCAGGGTGCACAGCCTTGGTTGCAACACTATCTTCCCATTCTCAGCTTCACTAGACTTGACTTTTGGAACCGGAACCACCGCACCGGCTTCTCTACTGAAAACATCTGGTTTTTGAGCTCCAAGCATACAGTGAGTTGCACGCGCCGCCACCCTTGCCATATTAGAGAGACAACAGCAGTGTAGTTCTACTGATTCCTAGAATCTTGGGGGTACTATGTTTTTCGAGGTTGTCCTGGCGGTGGTAGATTTTGTAGCCACGTCAGGACATTTCTTTGTGGGGTCCAGCGATTACGTGGTGGGCTTTTGGTTCGGTGACGTCGTTTTCAGGAATTGAAGGACTGGATGAGTCATGGGTGGGGTTGTTTACGGTGGCTTTGTTGTAGGGACGACCTGTCGCTTCATGCTGTCCTTTTTTGTTCTTAGCAACGACCTGTCAGTAAATGTTACGTGACCGGGTTCGTCAAGACCTGAACGACAAGTCGTTGTAAGTGGAACGATGACCATGAATAAGCTTGAGTAAGAAACCTTCACCCAACTTTTAAAAAAGAGTTTTTTCATTCATTTAGGAAACGTTTGGCAGTATTCACGGTTTCTATTTTTGTTTTTGAAGTTTTTTTTAAACGAAATCAATTTTTATATATATGAAAAAGTAGAATCAAGAATCATTTTCACGATTATTTAAAACCATTTTGTTTGATTTCTAAAAACAAAAAATGAAAATTATAAATGGTACCAAATTAAAATGATCCGTTACAACTAGAAATATTTTAGCATATCCTTGTTAGTTATTACAATTTTGTAAAACCATATTGTTTAATTTTTTTAAAATAAAAATTAAAACTAGAAGTGATATCAAATATTGTTTCATTGCACGTTATAGCCAAAAATATCATTAAAAAAAAAAAAGTTAAAATATCTTTGCACCTCATTTATGGTTGTTGATTTGTGGAGTGTGTGCTTAATTTCACTCCATTATTCGTGAAGAAATACGATAAACTAATATTCTTTACGTTCTAAAAGGATTATTTCTTTTGATTTTTTATACAGATTAAGAAAATTATTAATTATTATATCATATTAATATATTTTGTTTATATTTTTTAAATATATATTTTTTTAAAAATCATATTTAGATTTTTTTTTTACAAAATAAATTTTAATTAAGAATATATCACTTAAAGTTTTGACGAGATAAATATTTTGAGACAATATAAATAAAAAAGTGTACTTCTTTTTAGGACAAACTAGTTGGATACACGTGCTACTGCTGTAGTCAAACAACCGTTACATACGTAGAGTTAACGATTCGTTTAGTGAGTGCAAATAGAAATTTTATTTTTGATAATTAATATAAATTGAATCTATATATTGAGCAAAATTATTTGATTTATATATATTCATTAACAAAATATTTAATAATATTAGCATAAAATTTTGTATTTGAATAATTGGAATGTTCTTTCAAAACATTATCTAACTTATTTTATTTAAAAAAATTTAGAATATGAAAAAATAAATAACAAATAATTAGTATTATGTGTGCGGATATATAGTTCATTTCTAATAAAAATTATATATATAATACTTAACATATTCGCAGTATATAGAATAAATAAATAAAATATAAAAAAATCAGCAAAATTGTATGAAATATATTGAAGTCAATAGATTAAAAAACAAACTATAATAAAATTGGTTTTAATAAATTCTAAATAAATAAATATAAAAACAATAAAACTTATGAATTTTTTTAATCGATTATTAATTTTTTTTTTAAAAAAAAAACAAATTGAGCCAAACTATTTAAAACATACTTTTAGCTCTCTCTCTCTCTCTCTCTCTCTCTCTCTCTCTCTCTCTCTCTCTCTCTCTCTCTCTCTCATATATATATATATATATATATATATATATGTGTGTGTGTGTGTGTGTGTGTGTGTGTGTATTAAAAAAAATAAAACACTCATTTAAAAAAGCATAAAAATAATTTATTGTATAAATTATAATAATATATTTTTAAAAATAAAAATCGACATTTTAATTTTTTTTCTAAAAATCATATATGAAGAAAAAAATTATTAACAACTAATATTATATCAAAAAATTAATTTTATGAGAATTTTAATAAGAAACAAATAATTGAAGAAATAAATTTTAAACAATAAGAGTACTATAATCAGATATATATGTTTAAACTAAAATATTAAAAAATATCATATATATTCTATCTTCAAACTATACGTAAAACTAAAAAAATAATGATTTATTTTTTATATTTTTCACACTTAATTTCATATATATATATATATATATATATATATATATATGAAGAAAAATTAGAAAAAGGCTAGGCTTGTGCTCAGTTGGTACAGTGCGGCCAAGACAAGCTAGCCTTAGCTGCTATTCAACCTAGGAAAAACAATTCACACCTAATTTGAATAGCGACCAAGGCTAGCCTGTCTTGGCCGCACGTGCCAACTAGGCACAAGCCTAGCCTTTTTTCTATTTGTTTTCATATATATATATATATATATATATATATAAAAGAAGAAAAAAAAAGTTACAATAATTTAGTCTCTTTAATTTTGAGAAGCAAATTAATTAGTCCTTTTTTTAAAAAAATAACTATTTAACTCTTATATTTTTAAAATTTTTATAAATTAATCCTTTTTGTTATTTTTTATTTTTAGAAAAAAATATAGAAGAATTAGTAAGAAAAAAATATTTTTTAAATAAAAACACTAAGTTAAGCATAGTCAATACTCTTCAAATGACTTATATAATTAATTTTTTAAAAAAAATTAATTAATTTGTTTATAAAAAGTAGAGGACTAACTTATAATTTACTCATCAAAGAAGAGGGGGAAAAGGTATGTTAATGGGATTTTTGTCCCCTTAAAAAGAAATCGGTCATTACAATTTTTTAAAATATATATATATATATAGATGAATTGATAAGAAAAAATTTTAAATAAAATAATATTAAATTAAGCAAAGTTAATACTCATCAAGTGACTTATATAATTAATTTTTTTAAAAAAAAATTAATTAATTTGTTTATAAAAAATAGAGGACTAACATATAATTTACTCATCAAAGAAGATGAAAAAAAAAGTATTTTAATGGGCTTTTTGTCTCCTTAAAATGAAATCGGTCATTACAAATTTACAATAAAATCATAAATTAAAATTTTTTCAAAGTGATCATTGTAACCAAATAAAGAGTGGTTTACCACTTATGAACTTGTAAGTGATGGCTCTATTTTAATGGGTAACAATTCAACTTGTGAGATGACTAGTATTGGTACAATTTGTATCGGATGTCATGATTTGGATGTAAGAACTTTGATGGAAGTAAGACATATACTAGATTTGAAGAAAAATCTAATTTCTTTAAGCTATCTAGATTTGAGAGGTTATGGCTATTCCGGTAATAATGGAATTCTTAAGGTTTCTAAGAGTTCTTTGGTTATGATAAAAACAAATCATATTAATAGTCTTTATGTGTTATAAGATAGTATAGTAACTAGCTCTGTATAAGTGATTACTTCATACTACGAAAAGAAAAGGACTTAATTGTGGCTACATGATTAAGAGAGGTATGACCACTATGAGTAAATGTGATTTGCTTTGTGGTGATTAAATGACATTACTTGATTTTTGTGAGCATTGTATCTTATAAAAGCAAACTAGAGTTCGGTTCTCTAGTGGCACTCATTCTACAAAGGGCACACTTGATTACATTCATTCAAATTTATGGGGACAAACTCAAGTTCTATCTAAAGGTGGTGCATTTTATTTTTTAACATTTATTGATGATTACTCTCGAAAGGTTTAGGTTTATTTTCTTAAACATAAAAGTGATGTTTATTTTTTCAAACATAAGAGTGATTTTTTTGAAATCTTTGAATAATGAAAATTTCTAGTAGAGAATCAAACAAGAAAGAAGGTTAAACACCTTTGAACGGATAATGGTTTAGAATTCTATGGTAGAAATTTTAATGAGTTTTGTAAACACTCCGGGATTGTCCGGCATTACATAGTTAGACACATTCCTCGAGCAAAATAGGGTGTTAGAGCATATGAACAAGAGTTTGATGGATAGAACTAGATGTATGTTCTCTAATTCAAGTTTGGAGAAGGATTTTAGGATCTGAAGCGAGTTAACATGGCTTGTTATTTTATCAACCGTTCTCCTTCTATCGTCATTGATTGTAAGACTCCAAACAAGGTATGGTGAAGAAAAGGTGAGAAAGCCATGGATAAGGTGGAGCTTTAGGTGGAGTTTAAAAGAGAGATTCCTAAAAAACCATCATCGATTTATCCTCTACAGCTATAGACAAGTAACAAGATTCAAATATAAATGAAGATGCCACGAATCCGAACGACCTTACTCAATAGTTATTAGTGGAGAGAGAAGACGGATAAGACCACCCTAGAGATATCCTTATGCTGATCTAAGTAGCCTATGCCCTCACTAGAAGCTGAGATAATGGGTATTTAAGAGCCTTCTACCTATATAAAGGCGAGTGATTTATGAAGAGTTTAGTCGATGGGATGTTGCAATGATAGAAAAACTTGAATCACTCTATAAAAAATCCAACTTGGGATTTGATGAAATTACCTAAAGGTAATAGAGTCATTGAAAGCAAATGGGTATAAAAGAAGAAGGCGGGAATGCCAAGTGTTGAAGATGTTAGATTTAAGGCACAATTGGTGGCTAAGGGTTATAGTCGAAGGAAGGAATCGATTATAACAAAGTATTTTCTCCAATTGTAAAACATACCATTATTCATATGTTGCTTGCCATGGTGACTCAATTTGATTTGGAGCTCGAGCAATTTATGTTAGTGTAAGTGCCCAAGATCGAACCATGTTTTGATAGATTTGAGTTATTATATTATTACATCACTTATTTTATTAATATTTAAAAAATTCATTCCATTAATTTTAATGTCTTATAGTTATTTATTGAATATAATTAAATAAAATTCATAATAATATGCATTTGCATTAGTGATCGATCGAAAGATGTGAGATAAACACTAATGCACATAAATGATATCATTAAATGTCCTACGTTGTAGCATTGTCAAGAATGGATATTGACTATATGTAATTAGACTTGTTAGTATTATGTTTATGCTATATGATAGTAGTAGG